TTTTCCTTTAAATAAATTCAGTTACTATTAAAATTTTCTTAGGATAAAATGTACCTCAGCTTCTGCTCTAAACCATAGGGAGCCCTTTTACATCACTATAAGGTTAGCCCAAACTTAAATTAAAATACTATTTCTTTTTAACCATAATAATCAACACTCAGATAAAAAATTTGTATGCAAACATGTAAATTGCACATAATGGAGTTTTTAAAGTAACTTCTAAAATTATACAATTTCTATTTGTTGTTGAAATCATTTACACAGTGGCTGCCAACTTGTTTCATAAAATATTTATTTAAACATACATTAAAGGGGTCATATGATGCGATTTCAATTGTTCCTTTCTCTTTGGAGTGTTACAAGCTCTTGGTGCATAAAGAAGATCTGTAAAGTTGCAAAGACTAAAGTCTCAAATCCAAAGAGATATTCTTTATAAAAGTTAAGAGTCAGCCACACCTACCTAAAACGGCTCGTTCTAACACGCCCCCACATATCTACATCACTATGTGGGAAGATTTGCATAACGCTGCCCAAATGTTCACGCAAAGAAAGAAGGCGTAACTTTTATTCTCGCTGTAGTATTGTTGACGCTGCATGTCATGTCGTGAAGACGCTGTGTGTTTCGTTTTGAAAGCGAAACTACTTTGTTTGGTCTTCCAAAAGTGGACGATATTCCCTTCATCATGCCTGGAGCTGATCTGTGCTGGTCGCTGAGGGAATACATCAACTTTCACCGTGGACAAAGCGGAGTCCAGCCCGGGGCAACATGTGGTTGCCGCTCATTCGTCGCATCCGCCGGACGCGCCGTTCTCGACCCCGCCGCCTCAGCTCACTCTAGCCCGGCCTCCGCGCACACGCTAAGCTGGGGCTTCTGCTCACGCTAGGCCGCTGTGTTTTTCGTTGTGAAAGCAAAACTACTTTGTTTGGTCTTCCAAAAGAGGACACGACTACAAATCAGTGGTTAAGTTGTATTTACAACACTGTTCCAGAACAGTTTAACCCAAATATTCAGATGTGTGCAGCTGTTTATTGATCCTGGGAGAGTAACTTTAGACTACAATGCCGGCAGTTCTGACTCACGTAAGTATGTTTTCATTGAAATTATTTGCCACTGATGATTCAAACGAGAGTTTTGGGCAGTGTAGAGTAGCACTTGTTGTTTGTCATTTCTCTGATCACAAATGCAGACAGAGTTTTATGTTTACGCGGCACGATGCAATGCAACGCAACGCGTAAAAAGACAGTATAAGTCATTATAATCAGTAATTATGTCCCCACTGGATGCGACAAATGCCTCGTTTGTAATGGGTTTTAATGTTTTTGAATCATCGCTCCGGCCGGACAGGGCATCACAGTATGGGTGAGGGGCATAACATTTCCGTCACACGCTTGAGGTATTCGGCCAATCACAACGCACTGGATAGCTGGCCAATCACAGCACACCTCGCTTTTTCAGACCGATGAGCTTTGTAAAAATCGACACGTTTCAGAAAGGCGGGGCATAGAGGAGAAACAATAATGTACAGTATGTGGAAAATAATGTGTTTTTTTTTACTTTAAACCGCATAAACACATTTCATTACACCAAACACACAAAATAATGTTCTTTTTAGCAGCATCATATGACCCCTTTAAATAATTAAGACATCACTAACAGGTAAAGTAAAATATAATGAAGTATATAGGCTAGTCTAATATTTCTCAAAATGCTCTTCTGAGATGAGAAATTACTTTCTCATTTCTCTAGCAAATAACGAGCTGTAAACACTGATGACTTGCCTGAGACATTTTGTTTACAAGCTGTTTTATTGACGTCTTTCCGCAATTTAAACACGTGACTGAGCTATTACATGAGATGTTTATTTCGCGTTAAAACTAGTAGTAAAGATGAAGGGATTCATTCGTGCTCCGTGCTGCCGTTAGAACTAGTGGGCGACCGATATTGTTTTTTTGACAGCCGATGCCGATATCTTGGAAAGCAGGGTGGCCGATATAAAGCCGATATAATTTTATGTATTTTAATTTATATATAAGACATTTAAAATCATTTGAAAATGGATTAAAAAAATAAATTTGTTAAATAAACATACTTATATTTTAGATGACAAAGTATTTTTCACAAATAAATAAATATTTAAT